CGGCTGTACAGCGAGAACAGACCGTATCAGGCGGGCTTCTAAACAGACTGCCTCTTTCCTTTACTGACGATTTCTTGATCGCCGTATTACTCTGTGGCGTGCGAATCGAGTAAGGTCGTTGTTCCGATTGTTGCCAACCTTGTTGGTGTTGAATTTCCCCACGTCGTCCTGGTTCTTTGCCATACGCGCTCTTCCGTCCCCTCCTGCCGAGGATCCTTCCCGGTCGTACCTCCTTCTATGCTACAGGCTGCACTGACGTACAAGGCGCGCCGTTCGCTTTACAGCGCATCGTACTCCGTGAACTCAAACGCTGACAGCTTCCAACTACGCGACATGTCCGACCCCATCCCACTCCAGACGTTCGCAGACCCGGAAACATTTGGTACGCCCTTCTTCAGCTCTTGTGGGCTCATCGTATGTCTTACCCTCATGTACAGGGCTAAAACGGGGCTTTGGAAGGCTCGGTACGGCATTGAGTCGAAGCCGTCTTTCGCAGCAGGCAGCCGGATGCGCTGGGAACGTGACGGCGACCGCCAACATCCGTGCAGGCGCTAGCGAACGTACAGGCCACTTGCTGCTCCGGACGATGTGGGCTTCCATCTCAAGGCACCTCTGTTGCGGGTGCGGCGCGGGTGTAGAGTGAAGTAACGCAATCGGCGGGGCCGTCCATGCACAAGCCCTCAGGTGCGTCGTTAGACCTATGTGTCTTGTTTCGCTATCCTCATGCACTCTAGTGCATTGAACATACGTTTCTAAGCTATCTGTCGCTGCCATTCATCATCCCCCAAAAGCTTTCCAAACCCCCAACTCTCGACCCGTCACAGTGCAACGCCATCTCACATCTCCTGCATCTTGTCCTTGTCCCACATAACTGCTTTGATATACAGCTCTTCTTGCATCACCCTTACACATACGACATCCCTCATACCATGAGCCTCCATGCATTCCTGTTATGGTACGTACGTACGTCTTCTCCCGCTTCCAGGCTCACACGCGCAGATGTAGACAACTTCAGAGCAGCACTTCTCTGCAAGGTCCAGCCTATACCGAACACTTATTGAGGAGCGCCAAGGCTGTGACCATTGAATGACATATGAGGTCTGTACATCTGGTGCATTCGACATCGAAGGATATGAAGTACGGCGAGATCAGTCAAGTAAGTATGGACGGAAAACCGGTGCGTGATAATGTACATATGAGAACGTGATGCAACTATGAACAGGAGAAGACGCAATCTACCCCACGCCGCGAATGCCTCCAATGGACCTTATCTTTGTGGTGGCTCACTAGATGCACGTGTAGTTTCGCGGGATCTTTGAATCTAGCTTCACAGTGGGAGCATGAATGGGGTCGCTCGCCCGAACTAGAGCACGACTACGTGAGCGTGTGATGCCGCACAAACGTATAAGATACTCACTGAATGTTGATATGACAGCTCTCCGCGTTTACGCGCTGGGTGAATTTTCTAGAGCGATCGGTCAGTCATGGAGGCAGCGCTTGCTCACACAAACTTACTTTCGGCACCAGCTACACTGAAAGCGCCTAGAAGAGCGTCAGCGGCGCTGAGAATTGTATTGTCCCGTGGTCCGTACTTGATCTTCATGTGCCTTCCTTCCACATGACGCTTGACGAGATGTCTTTTGGATTGGTAACCGCATAGCTCATCGTCAATCTTATAGGTGCAGCGCCATTGAGCCTTATCGTGCGGGACCGCCTCCGCGTACTTGAGGTATGCCTTCGCATCAGCCTTGACACCAGTTTTGACAATCTCCAGCTTCGTCCCTTTGCGATTGTAGAACGCCTTGACGCCGGGCTTCTTTGGGTCTTCTTTAATCTCGTAGACGAGACAATCGTCGTCGGGTAGGGCACCCTCCATTGGCTCTTCGTTGTCAGAGTTCTCCGGGACTGTCCGGCGTTTTGACCGGCGTTTCGCCGGAGGCGGTCGTTCCTGCTTATCCTCGACGCGAGCGCGCTTGCGCGGAGTGAAGGACGGCGACTGACTAAGGAAATATCAGTCGCGCTAATTGCATGAAACAAGCATTGATGCGTACGTAGCGCCCCGCTTCAAATTGGGGGAGTCCGGTGCGCCAGGAAGCCAGTCATTGCATCCGTCATCGGTTGGTTGGAGCGACGGCGAACGATCACCTAGTGGACGTGTTAAGGGATGCGCTGGCAAACAATCGCTCGTCCTGAAGACGCGTGAGTGGGGCCAAGGCTTTACTCAGCTTCCAAAGCGACTCACTCCTCTGACAGATGCAGGGCGCCATCTGTGTTATAGGCGACAACACTAGACAAAGGCGCCGGTGACGGATAAGGCGAAGGCGACGGCGACGGCGAAGGCGAAGGCGAAGGCGAAGGCGAAGGCGAAGGCGAAGGCGAAGGCGAGTCAGGCAGAGACGAATTCCCACTCCGGAAAGAAGAAGACGAATCCGGTGACGAGGTCTCCGCGGGATATCTAAGCCATCCTTCAGCCCAACTAAGACGACAGATAGTATGAGATGGCGTACTCGTTAGAACTCTCGGCTCTCATAGAACGCAGTATGTGTGCCGCGTAAGCCCCCTCCCGGTCCTCAAGAGCAGCACGACGTCGACCAAACCCTGGGCCCAGCCGTGGATCCAGCCGCCTGGAGGCTTTGAAGGAGGGAGAGGGGCCATTCAAGTCGCTGAGTCTACAAGTAAGCCTGTCGGCCATTGCCTTAGCATCCTCGACAGCCACCGAAGCGCGAGACTCACCCCGGGAGCGAGCCACCTTCATATGACGACCCGAAAACCGAAACAGATGGCGGTTGTGGAAGACTTGTACGATGGCAGTGGTTCATGGATCGGAGTAACATGGCGCAAGAGCGGCAAGAGCGTTCGGAACTTCGGGCGCTCGGCCTCAAATACCCAGTGTCCACAGCAAGGCACGATGACACCTTGGCAGTTCAACAAATCGGCATCCGCCGCGACCTCATGATGCAGTGATGTACCGTCGCCACCAACTCTCCGGAGGCGGTGTGCTATCGCGCCCTACACTTCTCGTGATGAGGCTGATACGCTATGACTAGACAAGTAGTACTGGTAAAACTTAAGACGCCATCGTGGACCTCCCGTGCGAGCTTTCCCGTAGGCTGAGGAGCGAGGCAAGATAACGTTACACCATTAACACAGCTTCAGCGGTAGGTTATACTGAGGCGCTACCTTATCTGTACACTACCATCACCCTCTTGAAGTTCAAATGGGACGTGTTTCCCTCGATAGTTGATCTATGCTCCCCGACCGTGGTTACGCGGTTCGGGAGTGACTGGTACAACTGGGCATAGTCACACATTACAGTCGAGATCTTGAAAGCTTTGGACTAGAAAAGCTCTGGCGCTTTGCCTGCAATCTACTGACAGTGAGATGGAATCGTGGGTTTGTCAACTGCTGCAGCCAGGATACAGCTGCGTGCGACCGTCTCGACTGTCTTGTCCCCATCGGCGGCTGGTTTTACCTTGAGATCGCACATACAACCTGCATTCACGACTCACACGGAGGTATGATGCCGATAAGGGCCTTCGCCACGCCTCCACGAGTCTCGAGCGCACAGTGCTAATCTCTGAGGACGAGTACAGCCTACTTCCATCATCTACGCGAAGGCATACTCTATACATTCGAGGCTCGTCGCCGAGCATGTTGGCATGATGTCAAAGAGGTTGACAACGTCGTGGAGCTCCAAGTCTATAGCACTCACAATCTCTCATAGATGGGGTTCCATGCCAGTGGCGATCCGTACGAACGCGCCACATAGGGCCCAGCAGAGAGTGAGCACCACGGTTTCACAATAACGTTATGTTTCGCGGCGACGCGCTCAATTGCATCTTCCTCGTGACACGGCGACACCGGCATGACGGCTAGAACGTTATCGCCACTACTGTAAGCCGCTTTGCTGTGGGCGAGAATCTCAAGTGCGCGATGGAGGTGTTGGACCTTCTACAGTGCCTGCATCATGAGAGGGCTCCAGATCTATCGAAAGCCCCAAGCTCGCCGGATCAGTTACTCGGGTTTGATAGTGCATTACGACCTCTTCTGCCATCTCTACTAGCCTCTCAATACGAAAGCTCATCGGAATAGTTTCTTTCTATTGATCTCGCGAAACAGCACAACATTAAAGCAATCAGAGTGCACCGAGGCGAACTAGGCAGACCGGATCGACGTGGGTGGCCACGGAAAGGGAACAAGAGTGATAGTCTGTCAGGGAACAGACTGTGCATTTCTTTATGCATATGCTGTAGGACGTGCGCCGGCGGAGGCGCGAGTGGTGGTTGAAAGAGAGCCGTGTATGGCGGCGAACGTTCGGAGAATCGGAGAGGCGCGCCGCCCTTCCCGCGCTATTTCTGTGTCCCCGTCCCTGCGCCTATGTCCTCCCTCGCCAGTCTCTGTCACGGTTCGACCCTCGGTCCCACGATTATTCATTTTTCTTTTCTTTTCCCT